TGATGGGTCATCGCAGTACAAAGGCCCAGCCCCTGAGGTTCCTGTCATGTTAAGGTTGAGAGCCATCCCAGCTCCATAACCTTCTGTGGGCTGGGCCTCTGTTGGGACTGTGTTGCAGCCCATCATCTCCTTCTGCCCAGTTCTGCTTTCTTCCCCTCTCATACATATTGCTCCTAAGAATACTCCCAAAAAAACCTTCCAGCACACTAATCTCAGCAGCTCCATCTACTTTCCAGGAAACCCAGCCTGAGACAATAGTGGCTACTGTTCCAGGAGGACATAATTTCTTTAAGAAACCCTGGGCACATTGTCATCACTAATAAGTCATAGTAAGAAAAAAAAACAGAAAATGGAAATCGGTCAGGCAATGGGCAATCTTTGCCTTTGGGTGCGTAGTTTTCTTCAATAAGTAGCATTAACCCAAGGCTGGAGAATCCATGCAGTAGAATAGGAAGAGCCTAGGCTGGAAGTCAGGAACCTTCAAATTCCTGGCCTTGTTTTAAGCTTCGTGGCCTTGGGCAATTTATTTACCTTCTCTGGGCTTCACTTTAATTGTCAAATGGGTCAGATCACCTTGCACAGTAGTTGTAAAGACTTATACGGGCTCAGGGTTATTAAAGCACCCAGAACACACAAGCTGCCCAGTAGACACTGGTTTCCTTTCACACACATAAGGGGGCATCCTAGTCTTCTAAGTGAAAGAATGGGGTGTGCAGTACCAATGAGCTTACAGTGGATATGGGAACACAAAACTTTGGAGGCCTTGAGGCAAAGTAGGAAAATATTACAAGTTGACAAAGCATTTCCCTTACTCCTTTCCCCTGAAAAGTAGGTGCTCACCCCTCGAAACTAATGGATTAAGCAGGAAGCTATGGACATAATGGGAAAGAGCAGTGGTACTTCTCTACAGGATGTCTTCTCTGGTGAGGGATAATTTGAGAAATTTATCTGAAGACCATCCATACAGCTTTGAGAGAAGGTCATTGTGGGAATGTTGCTCTATGAGATTGGAACCTGATCTGTTTTCTGTACTCCCTAGATCACTGCTTGATCCATAGTAGGTGTTCAATAAATACTTGTAGAATGAATGACTGAAGGGTCTTTAGTCTTTTACCCCATGATGAAGTCTGATGATTTCTGGTTGGATAAGGTTACATAATGTCTGGTAGTCACCCTTCAGTCTAAGGCCCCTCTGGTGTTTTCCAACATATCTCCATTGTCTTCCAGGGCTCGCTCAGGTATGCAACGTGTGAGCTGCTTCTGCCTCACTTTGTCCTAGAGCAGTGGTCCACAACTTCAGTCCTCTTTTTGTAAACACAGTTTTAATGACATAACCACACCCATTTGCTGCTTTTATGTTGCCATGGCAGGAGGAGAGGTTGTGACCACAACTTTATGTCCCAGAAAACACCTAAAATATCTACTCCCTGGCTCTTTCAGAAAGTTTGTCCTAGAGAGATCAAATGAGATAAGGTTTCCTTCTAAGAAAGTGGGTTCTTCCCTGGGTTGGAGACTAGACTCCCTGAGCGCCAAGGTCCTTCCACCTCACAGGGCCTAAGGGCTCAGCAAGTCTCATTCCCTAGGAAGACTGGCCTGTATCAAAGCCAGTATGTTTACACATTTCCACTTTATGCCAGTCATCTCACTGAGCACCTTACCTTTAGGCTCTCATACACACTGCTCAGTGAGGCCATGAAACAGAAACTATGTTATCCCCATTCCACAGATGAGAAAACTAAGGCCCAGAGAGGGTAAATGACTGACCCAAAGTCACACACTGGGCACAGGGAAGAGCTGGAGCTCAACCACAGGTCTGTGTTGAAACCGAGCTGCTGCTCTAAGGCACAACTCTGCGCTGCTTCCCTGTACTGAAGGCTTAATGGAAACATCACTCCTTGAGGAAAACAAATACACAGGGTTGTTCAGGCTCAATAGGTGATTGCTGTACAGAACAGTTCCTAACCCAACACAGCAAAGGGGTCTGTGGCAAGAGCATTGTGAGGAAGTCTTTCCTTAGGGTTAGAAGATTAGCCCACTCAGGAGCCAGAGCTCCAAGCCCTCTGTGGCAGGACAAGGGCTCTCTCCACTGGCTGGTAACCTAATACGTGAGAAAAAGTCACCCAGAGCACAGCGAGCAGGGACTGACTTGATAACATCAGAAAACCCTGCCAAGATGAGCACTAAAGACCTTGTGTTTGGTTTTGAAAGTTACAGATCCCAGGTAGGTTTGTTCCGGCTCCTCAGATGAAGGTATATTACACACTAAGTTAGCCCCTTTGTTCTCCTAAATTAAAAGGATTAAGTATCTTACAGAGGATTCTCTTCTTTAGGACTAAGGGTAGAAATTTATTCAATTTCACATTGTCATGATAACAAAACTTTAGGGAAATAAGAGACAATATGTTAGAATACTGCAGTATTTTCCAAAGAGAGGAAAATTGGTCCCTTGTTGCTTGAAATAAAAGGAAGATTATATGTCAGGGAAATTAATCCAGATTACAAAAATGAACAGTAAACTCATTCTGGTCACTTCCTGTTGACACAGGAAGAAAAGCTTTGATCTGTTTTCTGGGAAGCTCTCCATGAAGTCACAGGTCACTAATTCACTCAAGGCAGTGGAGGGGAAAAGAGACACACCTAAGTCATGTGAGTGATTTAGTGATCAGGTTTGCCTGACTCCCCCACACCTCGACCACAGGGCACAGTGTGCTTGCTGGAGAGTGACAGGGTGAGAGGGAAAGTGAGAACCCCCCACCCCCTGCCCCAGGGGGGATGGCCATGCTGCAATCCCTTCTCCATTCTCTCAGGATCTTGGGCACTCACCCACACATGCCCAGTATGTTTCTAAAGCCACTGAGTCTGGGACTTGAACTGTGCAGTCAGTCATGGGGAAACTAGATGCCTTTATCTCCATACCACCTGCTGGCCCAACATGTCCATTTTAATCTTTTTACTATCTGTGTTGATGCTATGACAACCTCCACTTTGAATCTGGAAAACAGCAAACGCCTCATGTGCGCCATCTCTTTGACTTGTTATGGGATCAGCATCTTCAGCACAACAATGACCTGCTCAGCCACCTCCCAGTCCACAGAAACCTCCTATCCATGGATTTCTGTCCCATCAGCCTGTTTCACTCTTTTTCATACTTGTCACTGATGAAAATGAACTTTTTTATTTGTTCATTGTCCGCCAATCTCCTCTTCAACCAGAATCCGTGCTCCCTAGGATCAAAGTTCACATCTCTTCCTTCATCTCTATATCCCCAATGTGTGGCTCGCAGTAGAGCCTCAATGAATGGTTGGTGAATACTAATACAGTGTTCATGAATAAGGTGAACTGTGCTTCAACTTCCCCAAATACTTTTAGGTTTTCATATCCAGTTTTTCTTTTCATGTTGAGTTGGCCATGCTCTCTAAGGCCTCCTGAATATGAAATGCCCAACAGTCACTTTAATAAGTGGCTGTTTATTTGTTCATACCAACCAACATGAAATTATTGGGCACCTCTCAAGTGCCTGGCAAGGGCCAGGGATTTAGTGATGATCAGACCAGTGCCGGTCCGCATGCGCATCCAGTCTAATGGAGTCCGTGGGAGGACAGTAACAATGAAATGGTGATAGTATATGTCTTTACAACCTTACACACAAGGAAGGAGAGATACATGCCAGGCTTCAGAGGAAGTAATACTTGGGTTAAGAGTTGAAAAATGCCTTAACCAGGTGAATTAACTAAGTTAAATTGCTCAGGAGTGAATGAAGGTAGAGTGAAGAACAAAGGTAGATTAGTGTAATGATTAGGGGAGAGATGGGATAAGGTTAAAAAAGAGCTTTGTGGCAAAAGGGACAAGCATGTGCATGTGTCCTAGGGATCAGGTGGAGATTGACCAGGAGAGAGTTGGTAGGTGGAGACAGAATATATGGAGAGAAGAAAACAAATGGAGAGTTATTTAAGAAGTAAAATGGCAGGACTTAGGCCTTTGAGGCCCACCTGGTGACTGGGTATTGACTTTGGCCTTGCCCTGGGCTGGAGCTTAGGGACCCTCCATAACTTGTAACCAGCTTCCAGAGGTGGAGCTGACACAGGGCAGTCTGAGTGTGTGTGCCCAACAGAGATGGTAAATGGGGAAGGGGTGAGCAGAGGAGCACCTAACTTGGTCAGAAGCAGCATTTCAGGAGCTGGATTTAGGACACAGTTCTGGAGGGTTCCTGGTGCCTATGCGTAGATTACTGTGGGCAGTCAGGTGTTTACAGAAGTTCAAGATCATGCCATTAAAGAGATCAATTGTGTCCACGAGAACCCGCTTAATAGGGAGTTAACTGCTGCTTTATAAAGCTCTCCCTGCAACTAATGCAGCTAAATAAGGAACACAGGAAACAATTGTCCTGAAATATGAGCATCACGGGTGTTTTTTTTTTCCCTCTCCTTGATCAAAGAAAGACTCCAATGAAAGGAAAAAAAATAATTAAAAAGTAAAAACCTTACGTAATGAGATTTGAAAGAAAACTTTTGAAGCCAACAAGCAACTGTGGGCAACACTTCAAAGGGCCTAGAATCAATGTTTGTCAATAGCAGTTTTGCATCCTTTAATTTATCTTTCATGAATATAAAGCGTGATGTTATTAGGAGCCCATCCATGCCTTAATTCTGTTTGAGATTTGATGAATCAGAAGTCTATTAACATTCTGTCTGAATCAGCAATGGCTGAGGCCCGTGGCACAAGCCTACCTGGTCTGGGGCCTTTCGTGCTGCGTGGGAGTGATATACTGTCAGGCCTTCTGCATGGAACACTCAGCAGCTCCCATGTGCACCCAGGGGACTCTCTATCTCAGTCACTTTCTTTGGAGACCTTCTCCCCAGAAGGGAAGCCACCCCATGACTCAGCCAGCCCCAAAGTTACCATTTGTTTAATCAAGATAGTTGGTTTGCAAAACATTAAACATTAAACAGTATTTGATGCCTAGTTAATAATTTGCATCCTCTTCATTTGTTCCTGAACCCTTAGAGACTGACCCCCCCCCCCCCCCAAGGCACTGACAACAAAAGAATTGTATTGAGAGCAAAACACAAGTCCTTAAACTGCAGAGATATTTGCCAGAATGTCTGATCTTCATGTTCTGCTGTTAATAGTTTTGGTGGGAGAGACAGCCTTCGGGGTAAGTGTTCTTTTCAGATATCTGTAGTTGAGAGACTCTAAGGTTATTAGGAGGATCAGACCAGCAGAGCCAAGAGCGCTGAGAAACTTTAGTTGTGAAAGGCTGGTGTTGCCAATTTGAATATGTCCTCATGACAGGAGCTAATGCAGGCCTATAGCATTGGTGCTGTTGAGTGGCCACTTTCATGGTGACATGTGTCTGACATGACCCCTCTTGGAGCACAGGCTCCGGAATGTGTTCCAACAAAGGAGACTGGGGCAAGAAAATCTGTTAAGACATGCCTTGTCATCTGGCATGGATCGCAGAGACCCTTGTGAAAAGCCATTGAAAGCTGAAAACTCTTCCAAGAAAAATGTACCATTGTGCTGGTGCTGACATACACATGCAATTTTCCAGCCATGTTGGGCCAACACTAGGGTAAGGACTCCTGTACGTTGGCCTTAGAGGGGAACCTCGCTGGTTGCCAATGATTCTGGCAATGGGTTTGTTTAGATGGAGTGAATATGGGAGAAAGTCTGTGGCTAGTACTTTTTCTTCTTTTCCATGTGACCTACTGATTACAGTGGATGGGGCAGAAAGGGTGAGCAAAGACCCAAGGGAGGTCACAGTGAGCAAGGAGGCAAAGGGTATTGAATGGCAAACTCAAGACCTTTGGGAGCAGATGAGTTGTTGAGATGTTGTATCCTACTTTGTGCAGCTGGGGTTCAAAAGCATCAGGGCATCTCTATAGAGGAGAGAGGACCTTACACAGAAATAACGGCTCCTGGGAGTTCCATCCTAGATGTGGCCTGAGGCATGAGTGTGAGCTTTGGATCTGAGGTTTGGATCTCTGCTTTGTTGCATTCTTGCTGTACCATGTTGAGCAGGTGACGTGGTGTGTTCTCTTCTGCAGAAAAAGAGCCGATTCCTCACAAATGTGGGGAGGGTCACAATTAAACAAGGTCATCCATGTGGCTCTCAAAAACATGTTAGCTCTCTTCTTTTTAAATTTCCAGACTGAAAACAACTTCTGTATCAAAACCAGAGAATGAGGAGAGGGTGTTAGAGAGCAGGCAGAAGATGAGAACTGAAATAACAGTCATAACCTCATTATCTTATTAAGTACCTTTGTATTTAATGTCCCATTTCACTCCACAGAGCGTTTCCTAAAGAAAGCAGATTAAATTCCAGGTTTTCTGACCAGCATGTTTTAAAGACAACAGTTCTCCTCCCCTTTTGGTAAACTGTACTCAGACATCTTAGCCCCATAGTAAGCTGCCAAGTGACTCACTGCTGAAAGGGTTTTCTTTTCAAGACTTGTGCATGTGTGGTGGCTGCAAATACAGATCGTTATTGAGCCCCCGACATCATTTGATCGCTTGTTGGATGTCTGGGGCCAAGACACAGCAGAAATACCAGAGGTCTAGAGAAAGGCAGTGGAAATTATCAGAGGCCCACGAGGGGCCCAGAGAAAGTACCAGTCGGAAGGAATTAGATTCGAAAGTTTGCAGGCAAGGAGAAGGGTTGACACAGTCTGTTTGAAGTTCACAAAAGGATAATGGTCCCAAAAAAATCCCTTTTTTGCAAGCCCCAGTGAATTTTTAGGGTTAGCGATGAAATTATAAGTCAATAATGGATAAAAGAGAAAATATGAGAGATAGCCTTCAGGCAATGAGCTTAGTCAATTCCAAAGAGAGGATTCAGGGCTTTGGAATGTTTTCTTACCCCAGATGTGTGCCAGACAGGTGGTCGGGAAGGCACTTCGTGTTCCACAGGCCGGCATACAGACATCCAGGGGAAGGTCGCCAAGTCGTTCAGATGCTTTGGAGAGTTTGGGGCATCACCGGGGGGAAAGAAGCCACATAGCCAGATGGGCTGGGTGGCCTTCCACCTGACATAGCTGAAAATAATAGCCAACCACTATCATCTAATGAGGAGTTGAGTTCTAGGCCCTGAGTGTATTATGTATTAGTTCCTCTCCAGAAGGACTCTAAGAAGTAGTACTGTTATTCTTCTCTTTTTATGGATACGGAGCTGGATAACTTGATTCCAAGTCATATAGTTGGAAATGGCAGAGCTGAGCTATAGACTCTAGGCTGGTGTCCACCTAGACAAGGTCTCTTGCCAGGACCCCTGACTAAGGATGATCTCTTCAGTCTACATAGCTTCAGGAACAAGATCCTGCTGTAGGGACAGGAGCTCCTTGACTAAAGGCCTATGTGCTGGGTGGAGTGTGGTGGACGCCATGTGCCTTTGAATGCCTGAAAACAGGCAGTTGCAGGATTAACGATTGCTGCTCATTGTAAAGACTCCTGGCTGCTCTTCCTGGAATTCAGATCATGCAGCAAATGGGGTTTTTTGATGACTTTTTTTGGGGATCATCTTTTACTTCCACATTTATTCAGATGTTCACCAGCCAAAGGGGGGGTGTATATCATTCCCTTGACTCCAGAGCTTCATTCACAATGCCTTCCTCTTCTGGTTTAGATTAGTTTTTCCTTATCTGTCAGTTTGGAGCATCTATCCCCAGCATAGCCTTGTATGTCCAAAGGGCCTTCAAAAAGTTTATGGAAAGAACATATTATGAGGGATCAGCAGTTGGTATAATGGTTATGTTGCTGGACTCCCATGTAGTCAACCACGGGTTGAGTCCCAGATCAGGTGGCTTAAACTCACACTGGGCACACCTGTGCATGCGTGCCCAAGATCCTGAGAGGAGAATGGAGGAGAAGGGATTGCGATGTAGCCATTCCCCCTGGGGGGTGATTTCTCGCTTTCTGTCTCTCTGTTTCTCTCTGTCTTTCTAGTGGGCACATGTGCCCTATAGCAAAACCTCTCAAAAAAAAAAAAAAAAAAGAACAAAAAAAACCATATTAAGAAAAAACTATAAATAGATCTCAAAAAAATTTAGCACTGAAATAACTCCTACTTTAATTCTATTTTCCATGAACTTCTTGAAGTCCTTTCATATTGTATGGTCTTTTAAAAAAAAGGAAAAAAAGAAGAATGCTAGGGGCTCCTGCACTTGACATGGAAAGACAGTGAGAGGAGAAAAAAAGTGAGAAAACATCCCCCATGGGGGACGGCCATGCCATAATCCTATCTCTGTCATACCCCCTTTTGGAATTTGGAGTATACACCACCGACACATTCGGAATAGTTTTTAAACCACAGGTCTGGAGCTCTGTCAGTCGGCCATGCGAGATCCAGCCACCTTAACCACCATGCTGCCAGCTGGCCCACAGGGTATTTGTTTTGTACCCCTGCTGTACTGATGAGAAACAAGCCCAAAGACATCGAATTCACTTTCTGGTCAAGATTGGGACCTGCGTCTGTCTAACTGCTTGTCTGTCACAGGAGGTACTCAGCTGCCAAAAAGAAAAGGCCTGTCTTAGAAACCTCCTCTCACTGTGTGGTTCCTAAACTGATCTGGGCATGGCTGGATTCCATTGTAATGGAATTTAGCCTTTCCCAGGATCAGAAGCCAGAGGACAATGCTTGTCAGTCCTGCCTCACTTATTTCAGACAATCCCCAGACAAGAGGAAAGACAATGGCTTCTCCTCTTTCTGATAAAGGAAACTTACAATTAAAATGCTTATTTGCTCACATATCTGGGCATTTTAATCCCAGAACTCTAGCATTTTCCCAGGTAAAGAGTCACAAAATATTTTGCATGAACCAGACGCTGGAAATTGGTAGTTTAGAGTTCATTCTTCAGACACTACGAATTTTATTTGGCAGATAGTTCAGTCTGAAGAGTATGAGGAGACTTTAAAAGTTTGTGGAAAATGGAATTAAAATATGAATTTATTTGGGGGCCAAAAAAATGGAAAACTGTACATACTTCTTTCTTAGTATGCATTTTCTGTGAACTTTTTGAAGACCTCCTCACATTCTTGTTTCCTTTTAGTTGCTTGGTGACATTTGAAAGTCAGAACATTTTTCAAGAAGACACAGAGTTGCAGCTTCCCTTGAAAACCAGGCATTCCAGTAACACTGGGCTCCCAGATTGCAGGGCACTGTGGGGCGGTGTGGTACCTGCACAGTTACTAGAAGCAGCTTCATTCTTCCAGACCTTGCAGTCCCCACAACTCCCTGTAGCCCTCCCCATGTGAGGTACATTATCTGCCTGGTTCTGCCTGGGGAGGGGTGCGGGTGGTATGGACGCACTTGTCTAGTTATTACTCAGAAGCACTGTGAATGTTGAAGCGCTGGGGCCAGTTAGGGATGGGCACGTAACCAGGTTCAGAGCCTGATTAACTGAAGCATCCAAATCTGCATGGGCCAGGAGCAGACAAGGCCTTTGTCAGGAGGATGGGCACTACTCTTTTCAAATCCTAGATGCTCCTGAATGTCAGAGTTTCTTTCAGGTCTAGGAGAGACATCCCTCCCTCGTGCTATAATCTACAGAATTTTATAGAGAAGGGAGGGACTGAATGTCATTGCAACTTCTCATGCCTTTTCAGAAAAAAAAAGGGGGGGGTGGGTCCTAAGCACGAGTCCAACTCATTAGCTCTGGCAGTGTACACTGGTATTTAGGGAAATCAGGTCGCAGGAAATCGCATGTGTATATAGGCACGGATATATTTATATTTTAAATTCATTAGGGTTTCCTAAATGCAAAAGCAATTCTGCTGTCACAGAGAAACAGCGTGGCAGAATATTCGGCAGCCGGGATTTTAAATAAAACATGCTTTTTCTTCATAATTAATATAACAAGGTTTCCTGGCTTAGGACTTGGCAAAGATCCCAGGAAAAATGGTGGAAGGAGGGGGCTGGTATGACGTGCTTGTGACCCGACAAATAAGTTCCAGAAAGAGTTCGTGCAGAGCGAGCTTTCCTCAGTCAGCCCTTCTCCCAAGGGTACACTCAGTGATTTGCCAAAAACAATAACAACGATGATGAAAAGCCACCAAATTCACTGACAACAGCAACTAATAACAATGATAATAATAATAACAGTAAGCATTTCTCAGTGTTCACAATATGTCAAATTCCGTGTACTCCATGTTTATCATCT